GAGCTGTGCTTCAGTGCCAGTCACTTCCGAAGCAGCTCGAACCGCTTCATAGGCTGCCAGTGTCTCTTTCTCAGTTGGAGTATAGCTGGCCTCAGATCCCTTGTATCCCAGACTCCAAAAGCCAAGGGGTCGACCTCGAGTCTCGCCTGGAGCTTTCTGCCAGAGGCTTCAGGTAAGACCATTCTCCCCAGCTGGATGTACAGTATGTTTTTTACATCTGGCCTGGTCCGGACTGGTCCAAGGGCCATTGAATGAACAATCTTGCGTTTAATTTGCTCAAAGGCTTGTTGTTGCTCAGGGCCCCATTTAAAATCATTCTTCTTCTGGGTCACATGATAGAGAGGGCTTACAACTGAACTGTAATTTGGGATGTGCATTCTCCAGAACCCCACAGCACCCAAGAAAGCTTGTGTTTCTTTCTTACTAGTTGATGGAGACATTGCTGTTATCTTGTTCATCACATCTGTGGGGATCTGTCTACGTCCATCTTGCCATTTTATTCCCAAGAATTGAATCTCCTGTGCAGGTCCCTTGCCCTTACTTCGTTTTATGGCAAAACCGGCTCTCAGCAGGATTTGGATTATTTCCCTCCCTTTCTCAAAAACTTCTGCTGTATCACCTCACACGCTAATGTCATCAATGTATTGCAGGTGTTCTGGAGCTTGTCCCTGTTCCAGTGCAGTCTGGATCAGTCCATGGCAAATGGTAGGGCTGTGTTTCCACCCCTGGGGCAGTCGGTTCCAAGTGTACTACTGGACGCCCCTCCAAGTAAAAGCAAACTGTGGCCTGCACTCTCCTGCCAAAGGAATTGAGAAAAATGCATTGGCAATATCAATCGTGGCATACTACTTGGCTGCCTTTGACTCCAGTTCATACTGAAGTTCTAGCATGTCTGGTACGGCAGCACTCAATGGTGGTGTGACTTCATTCAGGCCACAATAGCCTACTGTTAGTCTTCACTCTCCGTTAAGACTTTCGCACTGGCCGTACAGGGCTATTAAAGGGTGAGCTGGCCCTGCTGATCACTCATTGACTCTCCAGTCTACAGATCAGCTTATGGATGGGAATCAGGGAGTCTCAGTTGGTGTGATATTGTCGCCGGTGCACTGTTGTGGTCGCAATTGGCACTTGTTGTTCTTCAACCTTCAGCAACCCCACAACAGAAGGATCCTCTGAGAGACCAGGCAAGGTGGACAGCTGCTCAGTTTCCTCAGTCTCCAAAGCAGCAATATCAAAAGCCCATCAGTACCCTTTTGGGTCTTTGAAATACTCTCTCCTGAGGTAGTCCATGCTGAGGATGCATGGAGCCTCTGGACCAGTCACAATGGGGTGTTTTTGCCATTTCCTCCCAGTCAGGCTGGTTTCAGTCTCTAGTACAGTCAACTCTTGGGATCCTCCTGTCACTCCAGAAATATAGATGGGTTCTACCCCTTGACAGCTTGATGGCATCAGGGTACACTGTGCACCGGTATCTACTAGAGCCTTATACTTCTGTGGAACTGATGTGCCAGGCCATCTGATCCACAGAGTCCAGTAAATCTGATTGTCCCCTACCTCCACCTGGCTGGAGGCAGGGCCCCTCTAATAGTCATCACAGTGCTGGACACCTAAGTCGTGTTGAAAGGGATTATTCTTCGTTATCACAGGAGCTGGAGTAAAATCAGCTCTTCCACTCCATCTGGGAACCTGCTCACCAGAGACTGAAGCCACAGCTCTCATGGGATGATCAGCCTTGACCCTTGTTCCCCTCTTCAATTCATGCACCTGTTCCTCCAAAGCTGAAGTAGGTTCCCCATCCCACTTCTTCATGTCTTCTCCATGATCCCGCAGGTAAAACCATAGGGTGGCATGTGGCATATATCTTCTATATCTTCTCCCTTGAACAATAGGACGCCTTTTGTTAATAGCTGAGATGTGTGTTGGTACATGTCAGGAGCTGGATAAATCAGATGGATCGTCCCTCAATTGTTTTGAGATCCTGAGACAGTTTTTCCGCAGCTGAGATGATGGAAGGGGTGAGATTGTCTTTGAACTCTCAGAGTTTATGAATCATTTCATCCACTGTTAGTGGTACTATGTCATTCCAGGATACTGTTGCCAATGAATGGGCATATGATGATGGTGCATTCCATGTAAATTTTCGCCACATGGGTGGTGTACATTTGACTTCATCTGGGTCTGTGGGTATATCCCTGTTATTCGGCTTGATGTGATAGATCATCTTGACGATGGCCGATTCCCTCAGAGACTAGACGCCTTTGTCTAAAGTAGTCCACTTGGCCGAACGATTCATAACATCGCCCTTGTATGGAAACCTTTCTTTCACAGCTGCCAAGAGCTGCCTCCAAAGACTGAGGGACTTTTTCTCTCTTGCAATTGCTTTGTCAATTCCCCCTTCTCTAGTAAGTGATCCCAGCTGCTTGGCTTCTGTACCTTCTAGTTTGTGACCTTAGGCCCCATTGTCCCAGCATTGGAGCAACCAGGTGATGATGTGCTCCCCTGGTTGATGGGTAAGATCTTTTTGCATATTTCGTAGCTCAGTTGAGGTCTGAGGTCAAGAAGTCACCTCTTCTTCTTCTTTGTCATGTGATGATGACTCCTGACCAAATGCTGGACCGGGTGCTGAGTACATTTTTCTTCATCTTGCTTCACCCTTCTTGCCTCTTTTTTCCTTTTTCTCTTGTGTACAGTGGCAACTTGTATTGGTACAAATTGGTCCTCTGGTTTAGCTGCAGTGATTATCACTGTGGTTTGAGTAGTGACTTTACTTGTCGCTGGGGGTGGTGTAGCTGCTGTGCTTGGAGCTGGAGTAGCTGTGCTGACTGTTGCTTTGCTGTCAGATCTAGGGACATTTTTTTCCTTTTGAAGGTGCTGGATAGTGATGAAAAAGGCCCTGTAAGCACATACCGTTCTGGTATGGCCAGAATGACAACACACCTCATTTAAGTGTTTTACTAATTCTTCTGGATTTTGCACTTGTTTGTGGTGAAATTCCAAAGTACTGGAGGGGCTCACTGACCTAGATACTTGTCCATACTATCCCACACACCCTGCCACTTAACGGCTGTCTAACCTCGGGGAAAATCTCTTGGTCCTCCTATATCGTCATTTAATCCCAGACAAGACCCAGACCTGACTCTGCTTAACTCTTGAAATCAGACGAAATGATCGTGGGCAAAGCACACTCTGTATGCGTGCCAACATGGTGATCCCCATCACAATGAGCAAACAGGTCTCCACAGTATTAAAAGGCCATTTAAAAACTTCAAAACTCTCAAACAATGCTGTAACCGATCTGGGGAGGGGGGTGCAGACCAAACATTTGAACAGTAACTAAAAACATCACTGTTATCAGCACTGTTCCCAGGCTGAAAGGCAAAAACACAGCACTGCACCAGCTACTAAATAAAAATGACTGTTACTGCTAAACCCAGGACAATGAGGTAGCGTGGCCTGAGATAAGGGGATGTTTGCCACAGTAAGGTGTTGTACTAATGGGACCCTTGCCTTTTAGATAGCACAAAATCGTGTGGAGAGGCCTGTCCTGGTAAATAAATGCTCATAGAGGAGAATTACAGAATTAGAGGATTGCTGTCTACTGCACCCTCTCTGGTTAATGACAGTCCCCATGGGAGAGAAGCTCAATGGTGGTGGACTCTGCTTGGAGCCAGGAAGGGATGGGGACACAGTGCCACTCCTCTGGTCCTGGGTGCCCCTTTGGGTTGGGGTCAGGACCAAGCTGTGGGAGTCAGTGGTGTAGCCTGTGACTAACCCCAGAGCTCTACAGCCCACCTCACAGGCTGTGGTATCCATCGCCCAGTGGCAGCCATGCCCGTACACGCAGTTGCATCACCCTGCATGTCAAGTACCAAGCAGTTCCATATAAAATATCTATCTTCCTGGCTCACTCACTGAATCCCCATTATCTAAATGGATGCAGGTTAGTGATCACATATTTCTGTTCTAGGTTTAAACTGGAAAGGGTGTAAAAGAAATCCTTTCTGGGTGGCTTTCAGAGGCAATTAAAGCAGAGCCAGCTGGAGTGGTGGTAATGACAAGGGACTGCTGTAGGTTATTTAGGTATAACAGCACCATTTTAATCAGAACAATAGTTACAACATCTTAAATCATGCTCAATTCCTATCAGGTCCCTACATATTTCCAGCTGCTCTTTCCTTTCACAAGGGGGACAAAGCTCATTAATTTCCTTTCATTACACTTCATTAAGCCTGGTGAGGAGCTGGAGAACTTTTAAATGCTCTGAACCTCGGTACTCTTTGCTGATTGTAAACCCTGCTTCAGAAGCAGTTGCAAACCAGAGATTTACATTCCAGTCCTCAGTGAATTTTAGAAGCTATGTCATTAAAAGTAAGAACCAAGCAGGGAGCTTAATTTCCCAAAAAAAATGTTCTCGGCCTAAACTGGGACAAAGGAGTTACTGTAAATGTATTTACTTTCTTCAAGAAAGTGGAAAGAGGGAGGAAGTCACCCTCCAGTTCTTCAGCCAGTAGCCAGGGCACTAAGCTGGATGACAGCAGGCTTGGGTTTAACTCTGGCTCTGAAGCAGGGCAGTGCAGGGGCTGGGTTGTATGTCTGAATATGCACAGCAGGCTGCCAAAGGTCCTCCACTCTAGTGGGGTTTTTTTGGCCAAGTGGAGTATCAGTGATGGAGGTCTTTTCTCCAGCACTAATAGCTGTGATGCTTTTGAGCACACACCCTAAGGAGGCCTCAGTGAGTGGCTGTTGTGGCAGAGGACTTTGTCCTCTATGCGATTCCACCCCAGGCTGAGAAAACTCCGAGGAAAGCTTTGAACAAAACATATAATTTTGCTAAAACTTTCTGTTGCAACAAACCAACAACAGTTTATTGGCAGTTTCACAATTGCCCCTCATCAGAAGTTGTCTCTCCCAGCTGGTTGGCAGAGGAGGAGGTGGAAGAAAGATGTTTCATGGTCCTGGTGACCCTGAGCTGGGACCAAGAAGAAATGAAGGCAGCAAGCCTTCTGTCTGAGCATCCTACAGTGTTTTGTTTGTGCTTATCCCCAATGCATGTATGGCTACCAAGGAGTTACCTTCTCAAGAAGACAGCATGGTGGGCAGGATCAGGGTCTTGGCACTGCTGCTGTACAGGGAGACCCTGGGATGGCAATAGCTCCCATATTGAGCTGAGGCAATAGATCGTGTGAGTGCGAAATAAACTAGCTAAGGTGAAAGGCTGTTCTGTAGTGGTTCAAGATCAATGGTTTTGCAATAATACACATTGAAAAGGATGAAAAGTGCTCATGTAATCATTAGCATGGCTCAGCTCATAAGAACAAAAGGACAAACACATGTATACATACTCTTAGATAGCATGCTATAGGCAACCTAAATAAAAACCTTCCACGAAAACTCCAATACACACTGCCACTATGAGTCCAGAACAGGTTTATCTTCATAGAAGAGCTGGTATCTCAGGTTTTGTATGGGACAAATGTATGAAGCAGCTAGTTTTTCCTATTGTATTCACTTTAAGTAGTGCTTTTTGTCCGCAGTTCTAATACTGCCCTTCCCAAGCCCCAGTTAGATGTGATGAACTTTTCAGAAGTTTGCCTAGATGGTCACTCACCTCTTTAAGGTTACCCAAACTCTTCCAGGTTGTCTAGGTGACTGCAAAGCTCTATTACTTATTAGCATGGCAGCAGCTGGCTGAGATGAAAATCCCTTTATTAGTCCTGTCATCTTGCTCAGTGATGGATACAATCACTACTACATTACTCTAGCAGGCAGACAGTTGTGTCCTTCCTCCATGTCAGTGCCAGGCCAATGTTCAGCTGACAGTCCTTTACAGTCTCATACTATGGATGTGAGAGAGGTGCCAGTTAAAAGCAGGCTGCCTTTTGAATGTGCACATGGAAGTATAAAATGCTGCCTTTAGTTGTTTTGGGTTTTTTTTCTCTAAACACAAAAGTTAATGTCAAATTAACATGAAGCACACTATGAAGACTAACACTGGTAATTGTCAGTGAAAGGATTTGCATGTCTTTTCTTTCAGGTGTAATGTAGTCTTTCGTTCTGAATCAAATGTGAGGCTTAATATGCAGCTTGTTTTGTAATATGTAATTGCTGTGTGGACTGTTTACAATGCTTATAATTTTGTTGGCACAGCAAATTATAGGAGTGATTAAGTCTGGAGCTATGTGCTGCCTGGAGAAAGGAATTCAAGCACAGTGGCTGCCAAAACAGGGTGATCTGCAAGATCACAGCTGAAGGATGGATCTGAGTAGAAGTAAAAGCTGGCCTCCAACTGAGTCCCATATGAAACATAAGAATGAAGCAATGTGCATACACAAGGTACCAGATTTGCCAAAGCATTAGCCTCAAAGAATTGATTAAATTAGTCACAGACTATTCTGGTGATGTGAGAACAGCAGGACTGGGCATGTGATTGATGAAACAGCTATTACAGGGAATTAGCATTTGTGGTGTTTGAATTCAAAGACAGCCTGCCTTGGAAATCAGTTTGTTTGTTAATTTGCTCCTATTTCAGGGAAAGTAAATCTATTACTCAGGAGATGTTCTTTAAAACCTTATCCTTTGGTGTTCCCGAGACAGGTTTCTCAAACCACAGGAAGGATGGGAGAGAGAAAACAGGCTCCTAATCCCAGTGAGTCCCAGAGAAAGAGTAAGGGAGTAACTCACTCTACTGGGAGAAGGTACAGGCAAAAATGCTGCTGTTGCTGGCAGTGTGTTTGATGGGTGCAGGAGAGAAAAGCTCTCTTACTCTGTCATCAAGAAGAACAAAGAAATTACATCATATCTTTGTGTACAGAGGATGTTGATGGAGTGTGCGGTTTTGAATCTGCCACTGTAAGGAGCTTACAAAAAACCCTGCCTGTAAGACCTTCCTACTAATAAGATTATATTTTTCGTATTTAGGGGTTACTTTCTTCAAATGAAAGCTTTCACTGTAGAAATAAGCAAAGAACAGCCATCTGCTTTCAGTCAGGCTGATTTGCTGTGTGAGAAACAAAACAGGCAGAAAAAGCTTGGATGCCAAGAGAGCATGGTCCATTCCTGCTGCCCATGGGTTCCTGTTGTAGAAGGCCCTGTCCAAAAGCACACTGGCTATGCTGCAGGAGGGAGGTTCCTTCTCCACTTGTCAGTGCAAGTTCTTAAGCCAAACATAACCTGCAGCAGACGCCACTGGTGTGAGCACCCACTTGTAGCTTCAATCTCTCCAGGTTTGGTGTTTACTAGTAATTTTTCAGGTCTTGGCTATCAGCAGAGATGGAGGGAGTGGGCTGAGTGATTTACATTTCGATTTGGTCAGTCTTTTCAAAACCTAACCTTTGAACAAGGCAGTATGAGGGATTGTGCTTAGTCCAATTTACAGACTCTCAATTTGTTAAACATCCAAAATCCCCTCAAATTATAGCAGCAATGTGGGTTTAAAACAGGTGGATTGTTAGCTGGATTGCATTTAATGGAAAGCACTGCAGTGTTCCAGCTTATCCAGGCGAACTCATTAGTGGTGCACTGAGCTGAAATATTCTTCAACCTTCTTTCATCAATACTTTGTAAGTATACAATTCAGCAGGTTACAACTGGAACATGACCCTAGAAAGCTTCCTTTCTGCTTCCTTTTTTCCATGCAAAAGAAATTCTTCTTGGGGAGAGTGCTATTATTTAATCCTCACTTTGGTCTACATGTTCAACATCAGGCCTATAAACGTGCATACAGATGCTTATGGACGCATGCATGGTTTTGCACTGGCCAAACATCTTGTAAAACAGTTCAAGAGGATGCAGGAGGGTCCTTGTCATCCTTTGCCAGCTCTGTGGCAGATCTCCTGTCCTTCACAGAGGTCTTGCCGTGCTCTTACACATGCAACTGTATGTAATGCTAAGCAGGTGGGACCTTCTTCCATTTCTCAAGGCATATCATGCTTTTAAGCTGTAATCTTTTTTGTTTCACAAAAAAAAAAAAAAAAAAAGAAAGAAAAAACCAAAACCAACACACGTTTCGTGCCTGATGGGTTTTTCTTCAACAGAACTGAAACAGGCATTCCAGCTCTGACTTCTAAAAACCCGAAGGAGCTTTATGTCAAAACTATGAATTCTCTTTAAAAAAGTGTTCACAGTGGAAAATGGAAATTATCCTTTTGGTTTACAAAGGTGTTTTGATGCTACTGGAATGTTTCATTTGATTTTACAAGATACAACTGAAACTATTAAGAGATTAATAAAATCTTGACACAAATTCTTTCCCCTGCCTCTTACCTTTTTACATTTCAGGAGCTTTATGCTTTATGCTTTAATCCTTCCTGTCATCTGAAACTTGGAAAGTAAGTATATCTATTATTAAAATATTACCTATGTAAATAAACCATAAGGCAGGAGAAACACAGTTGTCTCTCTTCATACCTGAAAATTACTTAAGGAACAAATGCCTGACTTGTTCAAGGTCAAAGAGGTAAGTCAAATCAACGGTCAAAGCTGGTTAGGCTAGGACTAGAGCCTACAGCCACTTGGCTTTGTGCTGTTCTGCAGCTATTGGTACAACCCCAAGGAAGCCTTCTGGAAAGTGCCAAAAACCATCTTGAAGCAAGCTCATCCGGAGCACAGTGGCTACCCTTTCCTCATAAGCTCCTGCTCCTTCCACTGCCTCGCTGCCCATCCAGACTCCGAAGATTTGGCTGCAAGTCTTGTGTTGGAACAGCTTGTGGCTCTCTGTTTTCCCTCTGCAGCCATTATAAGTCCTCAGTTTGGAGGCATTTTGTGAATTAGGCTGTAAGAATGCTCCAGGATCCCTTGGCATTGCTAATTGCCAGCCTGAGAAGCCCAGTGTGTGATGAACCACCTCTGGGTATTGTAGTGATGACTTTCATGCCTCTCTTAATATTGAAATGCATAACTCAAAATTGACTTCCTCATGGGTGCTGTTTTTTTCCTAGAATGGATGGGATCTGCAGGCTGGAGGACTCACTGTGAAACTGCAAATTGCAGATGTAGTAAATATGAAATTTTACTGTTGCTTTATAAGGAACCTTCTGGGAAATCTGCTGCTGGTGTCATGGCTGAGTTCTGTGATTTCCCTTGGGTGAAGATGTATAAAAGTTTGATAAAATGGATTTATAGTGTTTCACTAGCCAGCAAATTCCCAAAAGGCTGATCATCCATCATAGCACCCAATCACTGTCAGTGGTGGTGCAGGATGTGAGACGAAGGCACATCTTTTACCTCTTTGAGAAGCTCAGATAAATCACTGTCAAGGGAAGTCACTGTGTTCAATCGTATTAAAAGCCTCAAGACTGGTTACAAGGCTCACAACAGGAGTGGAGGCATTGTGGCTCAGCCACAGTAATGCAAACGTTTAGTTAAAATGGTGGTTAATGCCTACATGCAACCTGAGGGGCTATAAAGAAGCAGCTGGTGTCTTACGTGCTTGCACAAGGCTTCAGGAATAAATTGCTGCTAGCTTTGTTTTCTAGTAATTTAAATAGAAATAGGTGGTGGTGGCATTTCACACTGTGTTACACTCAGCAATTCCATTCTTCCCCAGGGGAACAGCAGCATTGCTGATAGAAATAATTAGTGGATTTTTAATAGGTGAGATGGAACCAAGATTTACAATTTTTCTCATTCTAATTTGCACAGATAAAAACCAAACACCTCAGATTTTGCCTATATTCAATCAGTCTTGCAAACAATAATTCAGTAGCCATTAAATACCTGTGTGCTGAGCCATACAACCACTTCAGTTGCTTGGGGGTCTCTATCAGCTCTAGTTACACAGGCATGGTCCATTATATCTTTCCTATTAATCCTTTTGTCTTAGGATGCTTTCTGCAGCTTTAACTGATTCTCTATAACCTCACTGCCTCAGTAGTGCTTCATAACAGTGGCTGCTTTATGGGTTCTTTCCTTACATATACCTACCAGGATCTGTCTTGCTGACTACCTCTCTCAGGGTCTCTTGACGCTCTACATCCTCCTGTTGAACTGGTTCTTTGAGTCATTTCTAATGTCAAGCTTTATTGCCTCTTCTCTCTAAATTGCAAATCTTAGAAAAACAGCATATTTGTTTTAAAAGTGTGTGCCATAACAATGCCACATCTGGATCCTGTAAATGCTTGGGAAGTATATGTTGTTCACTGGGGGGAAATGAGACTCATCTCAATTGTGCATTAGGTGTCTCTTCATAACTGGCCATCTTCATATAATTGAGAGAGTTGTGACTCAGCCAAGCATATGATGATTTTGGTGCAATGGGGCATGCATGTGTGCTCTCATGGTGTCCAGTAAATTATTAAAGCACATGTTCAGAGAAACCAGGGTTGGTAACTTATGCCATGAATATCTCCCAGCTCTTGAGGGATCAAGTGAATTCTGTAAAGAAGAACCACTTTCTGCTTACAGAACTAACTCCTCTAATAGTTCTGAAGCAATTGCTGATATGGATTCTCTCCCCTGTGTCTGAAAAGGAGACAATTTGTTGCCTTTTGATAGCGAAGCTCTCAGACCTTATAAAGGTGTCACTTACATTGAAAGTTTTAAATGTAGGTCAGATTTATGAAGCCCAAGGTTCATTCACTGGCACATTTTTTTATCTCTGTCCCACAGTATAATGTGGATAATTGGGCATTTTTCTCACATGTTCCTCATGGCTTTGCAAACCTAGCGAGAGTTCATCGGCTCACCTGGAAGCCATACATATTTATTCCAGCAGTTGCTTTTAGATTACTTTCACCTCATATAGAAACTAGTGTCATTTATAAACGTTCAGAGAAATCTGGAAACCTGTAGCTTGTTCTCAGCAATTTCACCCCATGGGTGACTCTGCAAATGAGCACATCAAAAATAATTCCTTTTGCTCAGAGCTGTGCAACAAGCTATGAGCTATCTTTGCTGTTAGGAAGTCTTTTAAAAGTTCAAAAAGCAATTGCTTCTGAGGGTCTCTCCTGCCTGCTCAGCCCATGCCATTTCCAGGTGTGCTGTGATTGCAGAGCACACGTTCTAGCAAGTGCTACACAGATTTCAGGGTCTGGCAGCGGCTGAGAGCTCATGCTGCTTGATGACTGTAAGTGTACAGAATACTTGCTACCAACGAGGTAACCATGGAGTTGGATTTTTCTCATCCTTACAGAAAAACAACCCTAAGGCTAAAGCCTACCTGGCCATACTTTACTTAACAAACCAGCATGAATGCACCTCCTATGAAACTGGTGATGGACCTGGATGCTCTACCCAAAATAATGATTGAAAACTCACTCAAGAGGTTGTGCTTTGATAACAGCTGGATGAACAGTTCAGGAGAGGTGGAAATAAGTAATTTTAAAGTCTGATGAACCCCACCTGAGGGTTTGCCTGTGTTCATCTGCACCTTTCTAGGGTCTATCTTCAGACTGCAAGCCTAGCTCTCTGTAGGCTAAAGGTACATAGATTACTAACCTGAGTAGAGAAGAGTCAGAAGATTCCTGTATGCTTTGTCTTAAGGTAATTAAAAATAAAGTTCACCCTGTCGAATGGAAAGGCAACAAATGTTAACTGGGTTCATTGCACTGGGCTGCCCAGCATGACAAACTCCCTACCACAAGGCACAATCCCATGAGTGATGGAGCTCAGCTGGGCTTCTGGGAGATTCCTGTTTGCTTTGTGGTAAAAAAGGATATTTTCAGTAGGTCACCTACTGTTGCATTTGGCATTTTGATACTAAAACACTATGAAGACACAGAAATAATTTGTTTCATTACTGCTGAGTAAGCTCCTCGCTAGCATGCCCTTGTATATTACAGCAAGAGTCAGTTGGCTGTGGCAGCTAAAAAGCCATGTGTGGAGAAAGCCAAAGATTCTCCTTAAAAATATGAAATAGAAATTCCTCCAAAGTGATGAGAAACCAGTGAATGGCTTGGGAAAGACAGATTCCTCACATACCATCATAGCTTGGTATTTGACCTACTCCTGTGGAGTCTTCTAGGTCTGGCGGGGGGGGACCAACTGAGTCCTTAATACTTATTAAGAGTAGTAGATTGACGCTACTTAAGGAAGATCACGTTTTAAGAGAGAAGAACTCACAGAGTTTTTTGGCTAGTCAAAACACTCCATCAGTTTACAAACATATGTTTTGTTTCTAGTTGTCAAGAAACAGAATAAAATTTAGCATTGTATTAACTAAAACATTGAAGAACGTGCTCTAGAAAAACTATTTTATCCCTTATTCCTTGCTCCAGGTAGCCATGACAGAGTAGAGATAAGGGAGATTGCTGAACTTCCAGACTTGCATTTGTTGCTGCACTGTGTGAAACTGAAGCACTGATTCCCCGTGTCATGATGGATGACAGTATCTTGACAAAGATCAATTGAGAAGCAAACCCATTGCTTAGGTAAAGTGTAAACCTTATGATATATGCCACAGCCTGACAAGCTCCTGCTTTATCTCCTTCCTACATATACTGTGTATTTTCTACAATATTTAAATAAAAAACAAGGTAGGCAGAGATAAGACATCTCATACAGGCAAGTGTGTATCACCAGCCACAGTTGTGCTGGTGAGAATGTAGCTCAGCTGCAGGGAAGCAGGTGTAGAAAGGGAAGGTGCCCATGCCAGATAAACCTGGATAGTATTAATTTGTTGCTTACAATGAAGTGTTTGTCATTTCATGCTTTAAAAACAGAAGAACTGGCAATGTCCATGTCAGCGTTTCATTTCTGTGGCATTACCTCCACTTGTGTTGCCAGCACAGATGTGGGCCCCCACCGATCCCTGGACAGTGCTGGAAGTGGCAGCTCTCTTCTGGGTACTGGTGCTGGGGCTGGGCTGGCACTGGGGTAACAGGGACAGGGCTGAGGTCTTGGCTGAAGCTGCAGCCCCATGATGGAGCTTTGTGATGAAGCAGCTCCCCTGCAAGCTGGACTCAGCCGCGCTCCTGCCAAGTCTGTCTGTATCCCCACGGGTTAGCATCAGCCCTGTCTTCTCCAGAAGTGTCTGGTGCTATTCTCCAGGCATGCTCAGTGCTTACAGCTGCAGCCACAAGTGATGAGTTCTGTGCTTCATGGCAAATGTCCTGGAAAATCCCACAAGGCTGATAACTTCAGAACACAAACATCATTCTCTGAGCAGGGTCAAATACAAGCCCTGACTTTCTAGGCTGAGAGTTTTCTTTTAATGCAGGTTGTGTTCCATAAGCATATAAACATCATCCATTACTCAAACAGCCAAAAGGGAACAGCAGACTGCAGTTCACCCCAGATGTTCAGCTTGATAGCAGAATGTTTAAAGTCATTACTAACCCTCCAAATAACACTGAGGGAAAGTCAGCCAAAGGCATCTGAAATAGCTGACTGGTCCATGCCACCACTCTGCTAGGCAGAGCCTACCCTGACCAGGAGGAACCACCACTCTCTGGCACACCATCATCCACAAAGGCTCTTTGAGGCTCCTTACTGCTGACCGTCCTCACACTGAGTCAAGACCTGCTGGCCTGGAAGCATGGCAGATCACCTCAGCCTGGCACTACGGTTCCAGTCCTGGCTGACCCCTACCCAGACCTTTACTAGTCTGCCATCAAAACATCTTGGTTTGTGTTGATACTCCTCACCAAGGGTCCGAGTTGTGTTTTCCATTGTTGTCAAAGTATTATCAGAGGCATCAAGAGACTTTCCAAACCCTGTGTTCCAGCTCTGAGAAGTTGGCTGCATAAAAAACAGTAAAAAAAAACAACCATTATTGCCTGAGATGCTAATTAGCAACAGACTGAGACAGAGACTTGAAATTCTGGGCTGGCGTTGTCTTCACTTGGCCTCCTTTTTCTCTAATAAAAAGGCACTAAACCAAATACAAATCCTAAGCCAGATGCTTATCCAGGGGTACTTCGATTCCTGTTTCACACACACAGGGATCTTTTCAATACTATTGAAAATACTATTGAAAATATGGCCAGCTGTTTATGATGATTGCTGCTTCACCTTCCAGCAACTCTAGCTGCTCAGCGTTTGCTCCAGAAGTGTACCCACCAACACATATCAAGGCACAGCCATGGATCACAGCATATAAAGGCATCTTTTGTTTGCAGGGGTTGTTGTTTTTCTTCAGGTTGACTCACAGCAAATGTTCCAATATGACTCAGAAAGAACCAATATTTAATCATGGAGACATTCTGTACTAGCATCTGAGGTTCAGCAACTTAAGGTGCTGTTGCTGATATTAATAACCTCACACTAAGAGCTACTTCTGCTCAAGAGTGTCAAGGTTGGTTGAGAGTTACCCTGTTAAGTTGGCTGAAGGGGTTTAAAAAACTGCCAGGCACAGAACCCTTTGCCCAGCTGGGGAGAAGTTTGGATGTAACCCAGGGCTACTTTGCTTCAGACTGTCTATAATTAAAAATTTATAACACTTTCTGGAAGTAAGATTTATGTGCAAATCAGAAACACCCTGGTGACGAGCCACGTAAAACCTTTTTTGGCCAGCATTAGAGGTGCTGGTTTTCTGAGCATACAAAACAAGACATCCTGTTCCCAAACAGATTAGTTTTTGGTCTTTCATGTGGCTAAATTCTGGGAAATTTTAGGAAAACACAGACAGTAAGTATACTATCCATTTCAAAGGGATTGGGATTACAGCTAAAGACAGGAATAACAGATTTCACCTCTAGGCTACTCTTGTGAAATTAAGTGCATTTCTCTGTATTTTGGCTTAGTCTTTGGTCAGCATCTTTTGAGCTGCTGCGATATCACTTAAACTAGGCTTGTGCTTCCAAAACCATTTTCAACTCCACTGAGCTAAAGGAAAGGAATAGAAGACAGCAAGCACACAAATCACCTTCCTACTGCTCCCTGTCACCACCACGTTGGTGCCAGAGCAGCAGAGCACTGAAGCCACATACCCTGACAGCCCACATGCCCAACTCTGCAGCAGTATCCTCACTGTGCCTGGTGAGGCAGATCCACAGCCGGGCAGATAAGCAGCTCCTAGGCTGAGGGCAGAGCATGTGTTTTTCAAAACCCCTTTTCATTGCTAGGATTGCCACTTAGGCAATCATCTATATAGTCCCAGCTGCTCTTGGTCTAAGACATGAAAAGGAGTCCCAGGTGCTCATTCTGTGGAGATGAATAATTAACTGGCAATTATATAAAAGGAAGTTTGCTTGATAGCAAGCAGTTTCTCAAGTGCCCAGGCTGCAGGAGAGCTCTTTCAGAATAAAATCACATGGTTCCTGTTTGCTTGAAAGCAAACTTCTCTGTTCCGTGAGCTTGAAGAGACCTGGAGCCTGAGAGCTTAAATGGGAAGTTCCTCCCTTATTCCCGTCATGTACTGACTCCAAAGCCACCACAGACTTGCCTCAAACCAAATAGCTAAAAAGTGAATGAGAGGAAACATTTCTAACTTGGATTTTCTGACTGTCCCAAATCATTCCCCCCCCAGCTGATTTCAGGACAGCTCTAATTGCTGTATGATCTACTGATGAACAACAGAAATATAAACCCTCAAAGAGGGCATTTGTTTAATGCCTGAGTCTGTCTAACGCAAGGAGAAGTTCCTTAATTTTAAATAACCAGCATCAAAAAAGAAAAAATACAGGAAGTTGTGGTCCGTGTTAGAAGCTTTTCCTACATAGGAACTCACCCAAAGATTTTTGTATTTCTTTTCAATTCCTGAAGGTAAGGAAAAGGTCATACAATCTCAAGCTTTATTTCTTTCTCTTCCACAGTTCCCTCCTTTCAAACATTTCTTCCAAGCTGAGAGCCTTATAAATACCTAGATGCAGTTATCATTGTAGGAAATTAGCTATGATGCTGACTGCATCCCCAGTGGCATCAGACCTGTTTGAAATTCACCAGTATTAAAGAAATGAATGATACTGCGTTAAAAAAAATGCTTTCTGGAGGCATACAAGCTCTTGTCAGACTGCATCATAAAGCTGAGCCTTTAGGATAGTTTGACTCAGTCACTTTTTCCTTTCCCTAACATGTGCATCCCTGCACCAATGGACTCCTTTTTTGGTGACTCAGTCCTTAGTCTTTTAAAATAGCCTTTTAAAAGAAAATGAATGGCTTTTTTGGTCTTTCAGAACATTTTTGCCTTTACTGTTACATTAGTTACTTCCAGGACAGGGAGGAGTTCAGAGCTTGCTAATAGGTCTCGCTGAGCTGTGTTCCTTTTCATTCAAAGGAACACAACAAGAAAATGTTCTTCTCTTACTTACTTTAGCGGGATGAAGTGCAAGAGAACCTCTTTGATATATTTTTTTTAATACTTTTTCTTTTGCACTTACTCTTGTAGATCACGTTGCAGAGACATAGATAGACACTGAGCCTTACCTATTATTCTTTCACTCACTTCCAAGTAACCCTTCTTAAATAGCGGTGTGCTGGGAGAAAAACAAGACTGGATTTCTACTCTGCTGGTCATTAGTAATTTACAGTTTGCCAAAAACTTTAAAATACAAGTTACTTGGAATTAAAAAACATGGCTATAAGGTGAAATGTGGAACCAGAACAAGACAGAGCCACATCAGACCCAGATGCTCACACTCTTCTCTTGAAAATACTTTTGTGCAGTAATTTTTATAAACACTCCTTTTCTTCACCCTCTAATCATGCTTGCACTGAGTCACCACAGCAAATTACTGGTGGTACTTTGAAAATAGAGTAGATGTTCTTAGCAAGGAAATCATGAAGGTGTTTCGAGAGCTGGTGCACCTCTAATGGAGACAGGCTGAGAGAACTGGGTTTGTTCAGCCTGGAGAAGAAGATCCGGGGAGACCTTAGAGCAGTTTCCAGTGCCTAAAGAGGGATTATAAGAAAGACGGGGACAAACATTTTAGCAGGGCCTGTTGCAACAGGACAAGGGCTGATGGTTTTACCTGCTAAAAGGGGGTAGACTTAGACTAGACTAGGAAGAAATGTTTGGGGTTTTTTACAGTGAGGGTGGCGAAACACTGGCACACATTGCTCAGAGGAGCTGCAGACACCCCGTCGCTGGAAACTGGTCAGGCTGGACAAGGCTTTAAGCAACATGGTCTGGTGGAAGGTGTCCCTACTCATGGCAGGGGGGTTGGAAGTGGACAAAGGTCCCTTCCAAAACAAACCATTCTATGATCTTTTCCTGGACACACACTCCTTTTTTCACCAGTTTCCTTTCAAATCCATGTTTCACACAGAGCCCCCCAACACAAATGCTTGGTGCCACCTGCGCTTTGCAATGCAGCTCAGGGAAGGCCACATGGGTCAGGGTGGGAGGTGTGAGACAAGCCCAATGCTGTAAGTGAACGTGGTGGAGGGCTGCTAGTTCCCATCCCCCAGGACACATGAGAAATAACCTCCTCCCTACTCTCACCCCCAGGGAGAGCTGCTCTGAACACACATTCTGTGACACTACCGAGAGCCAAACCAAGTAAATGCATTTTAGGTTTTCCCAACTCTCTGTTTTTCTGAGCGAACTGCTAATGCAAGCTATCTGGCTTTCTCCCCAAAATGAGGAAAAAAGAGGCAGCAAGCTCCCAAAGGCAAAGATGGGAAAGTTAGGGTGTTACAGACAGTA